AACAGTCAAAGCAGTGTCATGAAATGCTGATCTCCCCAGCACCCTAACCATGTCAGGCTCCACCAGATGCTTCCCTCCCAATATCTTCAAAATAGTGGTTTTCCCTGAAAACCCAAATCACAGAAACAAATATATAATCACACTCCGCTTATTGCCCGACTCCTAGAATCCACTGTCTTGAACTCAAAATGATCGTTCAAAATTTAAAAATTTCAACTCCTCTTCCAATCTACATATCATGATATTGACCAGAAAATTACTAGAATTAATAAAGCAAGCTCTCAGCTAATGGGATTAAGTAGTAGTTTCTGTAACGAAATGCATTTCTGAAACAAGCCCATGTACCATAAAAGGGCCCTTCTTTCTTGATTAATTGAGAAGGAAACAGCAAAATAAATAAATAAATAAAAGGAAAAGTAGGAAAGAACCTGCGCCATTCGATCCGACGAGAAGGCAACGATCTCCAGGATAGAGGGAGAGGGAGAAATCTTGGATGAGGGGAGTGGAGCCAGGGGGAGGATGGCCGTCGATTCCTGGGTAAGTAAATCTGAGGTTATTGATCTCCAGCGCGGGCTTTGGACCCTCACCTTCCACCTCCTTCAGCGCCATTATCTTTCCTTTTTTTGGTTCCTACGGAATTTGCTTTAATTTTGAGCAGGTGGTGCTGTAGGTTAGGTGACTGTAATGCATACATATATTTCCGTGTGTGGAATAGTGCGTGGCTACGTTTTCCTTGTAACACTCTCACTAGTTTTTCCCTCGACACTTTCTATCCCTGGGTTTGGTCATTGGTGAGGCTGATTTCGGGTTAAAAATTAGACCCTCTCAAGATCTGCCCCTCCCCCATCGCTCAAAACATCGCCCTCTGCAGCTCTTCTCTCTGGAGTAGGACTGCAAACGAATCGACAATCGAGCTCGATATTAATCGAGCTCGAGTCGGCTCGAGTCAAATTCGAGTTCGAACTCGATCTAAGAATATTAAACTCGCTCGCGAGCTTGAGTATATATATATATATATATATTTTTTTTTTTTATTTTTATTTAATAATAAAATTACATATATTATATATAAAATTTTTTTTATTTTTTATTTTTATAGTAAAATTACGTATATATCATTAATATTTTATTATTTATTCAAAAAAATATTATTTTATTTATTTTTTTAAAAATAAAATATTTATTTTTTATTTTTTTTTGAACTCGAGCTCGAGCTCGAAAATTGCCGACTCGTCGAGCTCGAGTTCTTGGTAAAATTTAGTCGAGATTCGGTTCGATTAACTCAAAACTCGACTCGACTCGGCTCGTTTGCAGCCCTACTCTAGAGTTTCTCTCGCTCCACAACTTTCTACTCGATTGTAAGATCTTTAGCTATTCATCAATCTTTCTCCTATTCATTTCCTGTGTTCGTGCATCTGCGTGATCTTTCTACTACTTTTTATGTGTCAATCGTGTTATGTGTCATCTTATGTAGTTGTAGATCTGACTTTGATTGGATCTGATCTCTTGCTTTAGGTCTTAGTACTTTGATTTCATTATTTTATTTCTTCGTTGTTGAATTTTAATTTGATCCCATGTCTTGATTTAGAAGAAAGATAAAGATGAAAAAAAAGAGTTTCTTCTTGATTTCATCTGTGCGCGATCGCGCTGCGTTAAAGAAAGAAGAAGAGAAAAAAATTGGGAAAAATGGAAAATATTTGTTTTCGATCTGTTTAATTTAGAGCGAGTTGCGCGAAATGTCACTAAACCATTTCAAAGTGCTGGTTCTGGTCACTAAACTTTTTTATTAGCGCAAAATGTCACTGAACTCATAAATCTGTACCGTTTTGGTCACTCCGTGTATTTGTGCCGTTAGGAGAGACGGAAATCAATTTTTTGAGGGGCAAATTCATCTGCACAGCCTTAGTGGGGAAAATTTCATCTGGTAAATGAAAGGACAACAGTGGGGTTCTAAAATACTTATCTTTTCTTGAAGCCCGGTTGTGAAGAAAAGGAATTCTGAAAAGGAATTGCTAAGCTTCTGGAGAGATGGTCAAGAAATAGAGCAGAGGAAATTTTCAATAGTTTCAACTAATTGAAGAACATAAGATCCGATGAACCTACTGAAATTGATGTAAAGAATCCAAATTTATTTGTTTTTTGCATGATTTCTGACCTAAGGGATACGTTTGTTTTGGAATGTGGTAGTAGGTAAAAAGATTGTGATGAATTTTGAGGATAGAGGGTGGGAAGTCCATTGCGGACTTCCATGACCAATTGAATGCAACTCTATGCAGGGTGTGTGTTTAGGAGGAGGAGGTATAATGATGACATGGCAAATTCTAAGTCACTCGGTCTACCGATAGGCCCGTAGACCGGGTTTACCCAAATTTTTCCGAGGCCTAGCTCTTTTCCTCCTTGGAAGATATTTGCAGATCCCATTATTCATTTCCAAATCATTCTGAACCTTCACCTCAAACATCATTAGCATCAACGGCACTTTTTACTTATATTTCCTTCTATTTCCTTCTTATAATCAACATCCAAATCACCCGGTCCCCTTTTTTTCCCCCTCCCTCCAAATCATCACCACCAACCGAAATCATCACCACCACCACTAGCAAGAGCAGATACTGAGGCTTTTTCCTTAACATCTTCTTCGATGAACCATTCGAATAGAGTTCTCAGCTCCTATGATTCGAAGTTGCAAGATTTTTGTTATTTAAATTTCAAGTTCCCGTACCTGCAAATGGGCTCTAGTTTTCTTAACGATCTAGGAGTCGTCAGTCAATAAGGTCTCATGAAATACATCCTTACAACCTCTGCCAAATTCCACCACCATTTCGCCCCAAGCACTGGCAAAACCTTTGATTTGATCCTTGAAGCTCTCTGGCTCCGCCGATGTTTCATTCCCGGATGAATCAACCCCAAATTTCTTGGTCTCAAATGCTGGCGTCGAAATTCCAATTACTTCGCCATTGAATCTTATCCCAGTATCTACAACTAAAGTAGCTAACTCCTCCCTCCATGACCTCGAAGAAGATCCCATTACCTCCCCCATTTCCAAAGTTCTTTGTGTTTGTAGATTTATGAATTGACCCACCTCCTGCAAACCATTTAGGTTGAAGAGTTTCAAAGAAAAGGCTCTACGGACGAATTTGCCCCTCAAAAAGTTGATTTCCGTCTCTCCTAACGGCACAAATACACGGAGTGACCAAAATGGTACAGATTTATGAGTTCAGTGACATTTTGCGCTAATAAAAAAGTTTAGTGATCAGAACCGGCACTTTGAAATAGTTTAGTGACATTTCGCGCAATTCGCTCTTTAATTTATGAGTTGGTGTGATTTTGGCAATGGCTTATATACGAGTTTCTGAGCTTTGTGAGTTAAGGCTTGGAATTACCTTTTTCGTGATTAGAAACGGTACCCCTTAATTTGATTGTGTGTTGATTGGGATCTTTTAGGACAAAAGAATTAAGGAATTTTGGTTGCTACTGTAAAGATTGAACCTTTTCTGTGTTATTTTGCCTTTTGATTTGTTATGTCTGCTGGTGTTGTTGCTGTTATTAGTTTCTGGATCATAGCATACGAACTTTGTAATACATTATTAGTAGGTATAAGATTTATTCAAAACAAAAAATAGGTAATATTTTTAGAGCAGTATTACAACTTATATTGAGTACGTTTACAATAGGAATAAGATGTGCTAGTATTGGGCGATTTTTGAAGTTTTGATGCGGAGTATAATGAAGTTAATACTTGGAGTTAAAGATTTAGTTTTATTAGCTAACTAAACTTAAGTAGCATGTTTTTTTTTTTTTTTTTTTTTGTCGACACAGGGGTGTTCGGGTCAATCCTTACGGGGCCCGACTAATTTCCTGCGGTCCGGATCCGGCGCCCCAACCCGACCCGAACACATTAAGTGCGCGGAGGAATCCAGCGAAGCGGAGACTCGAACTTGTGACCTCAAGGTTCACTGGTGATTGTCTCCCATCAATTCAAAGGCAACCGTATTTGAAATGCAATTTTTTGGAGTTTTTGTAAAAAATGTATTGTAACGATTTGATATATATAAGGTAAAAAAATAATTGAAAAATATGTTCACGAAAAAAATAGAGATTTTTTGATAGAAAATTTCTTTCCAAACATTAAGGTTATATCAAGTGTTCCTGCGATAGGTTTGTAAAAATAAGTTGTCATTTTCGCACTCAAGCGTGTACCATTCCACAAGATATTGTATTAGCGATAATTTGTTTCTCATTTCAAATTTGTATGTACTAACCTAAGTACTTATGTTAGATTTCTTTTTATTATTAAAAGAAAATCCAAAGCATAGCGATTAATATTCCAATGGTCATCAAGCGAATTATTGAAACAAGAGAAGGTGCTAATATAAAGTTTTTTTTTTTAAAAAAAAAAGACAATGCAAATATTGTTGGTCTAAAGAAAGAACAAAGGAAGTGCATTCGAGCAAATATAGATAAACATTGATGCATGATATTGAAAGAAGTAATTTTGAAATCTAACTCACAATTATAAGTATATACTATATAATATATATATATATATATAATGTGACATAAATCTTAGAAGGATTTACTGTAATTTCAAAAATTACAAGGGAGATTTTAACAATTATGGAGACATGTATTAGTTAGCATTACCAATCCATGGGATTGAAAGATGAATAATTCGATTTTCGAATTGAGTTTGGTTCAGTAAAAATTTATTGGAATTTGGTTAGTTAGTTAGCCATAACACATTTAGAATAGCATTTTATGTTCGATACCTTTTAAATTCGACAAAAAATTCGTTCAAGTTTGACTTGGTAAATAAACCTACTCGATTTAAATAAAATTTATAATTTCTTAAAATAATCAAACAAGATTAAGCATTAGAATGTTCAATTTGATTAAATTCGTTTATATCCCTATCAACCCAAAAAATGTAAATGGTTGTGGGCTAGAAAATTGACCCGATCCCATAACCCATATGCTTTTCGATTACGGGTTACCTTACGAGTAGCACCAAATCCAGTCTGCAGTCTGTAGTGTACCAAGTTTTCAGTCTTTGGGGTGGCTTTCTTCTTCAGAGTCGAGAGAGAATTGAGAGGATCAGTTGAAGTTTGGATTGGATAGAATTGGGAAGATGGCAGCGATTTACAGCCTATACATCATCAATAAATCAGGGGGCCTAATTTTCTACAAAGACTATGGATCGGCAGGACGAATGGACACCAACGACAGCTTGAGATTGGCCAGTCTATGGCATTCGATGCATGCCATCTCTCAGCAGCTTTCCCCTGTTCCTTCTTGCTCTGGGATTGAACTTCTTCAAGCTGACACTTTCGATCTCCACTGCTTCCAATCTCTCACTGGTTCTCTCCTTATTCCTCCACATTTTTTGCCTTTAAGTTAAAGTTTTCATTTTTTTGCTTAATTTTTATGACTAATGATTCGATGTAGATGGGTTCTTTTTGTTTGAATTCCGCTTCAAAATCTATTTTCTCGATGTAGGTTTTCCCTTACGTGCTTTTTGTCATTTTCTTTTTTGCTCGCGTCAGAAAAGTTTCTCTATTTTCCTATGTGGTTAACGCTGCTGAATAAGTTGTTCCTATTTCTGAATCAAGATTATTGGGGGAATGGTCATTATGTTCGGATTTGCTTTGCCTGGGCTAGAATTAAGCAAAATCTAGATTAAAATAATTATATTTGCCTTCTAAACTTTGTCAAGGGAAAACTTTTTTTTTTTTTAATGTCTGGTAATGTTGTCTGTAAACTCATCAAACTAGCTATTCTTCCTTTTCTGAATTTTTCTGTAGTTATTGTATGAATGACATGCACGGGAACATAATTTAGATTGAAGTTATTTGAAACGTACGAGTCACATGCATTATAAGCTTAAGGTTTAATTTAGATATCAGAAAGAAATTGTTGGAAAGCCAACACATCAATAGGGACAGCTTAAATTTGGGCCCTTATGGTTGGGGCCTAGATTGTTTTGAGACATTTCATGGTCTGAATTTGGCCTTAAGCTTAAGAACTGTCATAGTTAGGACGAGTATTTGAAGAGTTATACATACAAGAAACTACTGCATCCTAAAAAACAAGAATGTATAGATTTTCCCAGATGGTTGAGGCCTAAACTATCAAGGGCCAAATTAAGAAAATTGTCTTCGTTTGATCAGGTAACGCCATGAAATATGGAAATTTAGATTTTATACTGAATGGATGATAGAGGATGTTTGGATTGGATAGATCGTACCACTTTAGTCAACATTGAGTGGATGTTAAACAGGCATGCCTATGCACTCACTGCTGAAATATGAAACTCTTTCCATTGTTTAGTATGCCCCAAAAAAGAAAAATATAAATTTTTGTAATGGGCATTTTTTTTTCTGCAAATTTTTCATTTTCTAATGCAGAGCAGTTGAATCTTACATGCGAACTCAAGCTTGTAAAAGCAGTTTACAGGTTTGTGGGATAGAGCTAGTGCATAGAGTCGTACATTGCTGCATGTAATGCTTGGTTTGTGTTTGATTAAGTCGGAACTGTTAAGTTGCTGGCCATATAGCTCACCCGAGAGACTGGGTTTCTGGACGTGACAGCTTCCACTATAGTCACTTATTTTTCTTGCAATGAAATGTAATGATATGATGAGTTTCTTTACAATAATGAAGATATTGTATTAAATACTGTTTCTTGACAGAAACAGGACTCCTGAACTTCCGTTCTAGTTAGGTGGGTAAATATAACTACTCCTAAAACCAAGGAAATGAGTTATATTCTAGGTTGTAGATGCTCCCCAAAATTTTGATAAGGTATCGGCTAAAAACTCAGGAACATAGCACTTTGAACATGTCCAACTGGGATGGCAAATTGGGACTTGGGTCTCACCAATTGAGGTCGCAATTGTTTGGGGCAATTTATGGTTCAAATTAAGCCTTAATTTTCACATTTCTAGTCTAGGATAAGAATATAGCATGTAAATATTTGTAATTATTTACCAATACTAGAAATATATTTAGTTGTCCAACCTACTTATGTTAACACATGAAGAGGAACCCAGAAGTATGACAATCCTTGCCAGCTTATTCTTGCATTAAGCTAAATGACTGTTAGTGGATTTCAGACTACATTATCTTCATGACAGAAGCACTGCTGTGCTATTGACAGCTCATTTTATCAACTTTCCAAGCTAAAATAATTTTTGCCATTCCTGTGACATTCGGTTGTTCTGTACAGGTTTTAGATATATTGCAAGTCTGACCAACTCTTTTTTTTTGTGGGGGTGGGTGTTTGGTTGGGGGGGCATTCTTGTGTGCTCTTCCAAGTCATGTTCTGGAGATGAAAGTCCAACTTGAAGATCTAAAGTTTTGCTCTAGTATTACAAAATGAGAGATTTAAAGATGGATAAGAATATAAATGGAAAGGAGGTGATTGCATTACATACATATGTTGGGTATGAAGGTCTGTTCCGGGTAATTTTTTTTTTTATTTTTTTAAAACGTGGCTGTCTTTCTTACATTTTGCTTTTCCATGTTGGCGTTGCATAAGGAAATGATACTTCCAGTGGCCTGGCTGTTTTCCCAGTGAGCTTCACTCCTAAGTTTTGTTCTACCCTTTATCATATTGAGTGTTGCACTTAAACAACATAGCTGATAAAAAGGCAGAAAGGAGGTGATTGCATCACATAAATATGGAAAGGAGGTGATTGCATTACATACATATGTTGGGTATGAAGTTCTGTTCAGGGTAATTGCTTGATTTTTCTAATGTGGCTGTCTTTCTTACATTTTGCTATTCCACATTGGCGTTGCACAAGCAAAAGATACTTTGAGTGGCCTGGCTGTTTTCCTAGTGAGCTTTAGTCCCGAGTGGAATAAACTCTGTTCTACCCTTGCATCATAGTGAGCGTTGCACCTAAGAACAAAGCTAATACAAAGGATGATTGTATTCTTTGAATTTGTACAGTTTGATCTTTCTTTATCACATTAGAAATTACTTAACTAGTGTAAGTAAATGCTTGCAGGGACAAAATTTTTTGTGGTCTGTGAACCTGGAACACTACACATGGAAGCTCTTTTGAAGCACTTCTATGAATTATACACTGATTTTGTTTTGAAGAACCCTTTCTATGAAATGGAAATGCCAATTCGGTGTGAACTTTTTGACATCAGCCTGGCTCTGGCTGTGCAGAAGGATCGTGTTGCTCTGTTGGGGAGATAAGCGCCTGGTTATGTGGCAGTGTAGGATAGATATCTAGAGTCTGGTTTGACCCTTTTTCTGTTTCGATAGTAATTTGTGCTGCCAAATTGACAGAAGATTTGCTGCCGGACTGCCGATCTGATCAGCTTTGCATGCATCCGATTCCATTAATTTATGAGAAAGCATGGATGGATATTATCCCCTCTTATTAGAGCTTCTAGTCATCTGTGAAGAGTCTATTGTTAGTTCTGTGAATTGTGATGGCTGTGATGAAATCCTGTGGCCTACTGGCATGGTTCATGTTACTGTTGACACTCCAGTTTGGTTGGATGGTTTGGGAAGTTATTATCATAGCGGACAGTTAGGGGCAAGAAAAAGGTTAAGCTTGTAATCTTTGAATTGGTAACTTGCTCGGTTGCATGCCATTTCTAACTCTGCAGCAACCGTGTTGCAGAAATAGGATGTTTGCATCTTCTCACTTTCCATTCATTTTCATTAAGCTACTTCTGTTTCAAAAGAATATATATGTTCTTTTAGCTACTGCATCCTATCCTATAGTTGATTGTCCCGGTTTCGGTGTGATTCTGCGGCTGATTTTGCCCTTTTCTGTCTTTCTGCATTATATCTAAACACTGCATAAAGCAGCTTTGTCTGCTGTTGCCTTTTTTCTCCTTTTAGCTTTTGTCCCTTATTCCGATTGTGGCCTTTTGTCTTGGTTTCTTTGTAGTTTTGGTGTCAAATTTGTCCTTTTGTTTCTTGTATCTTGCACCGTTGCAGGTGCTGCCTTCAACCGCTTTCTTTGTGGGCCTTTTTATGTTTATTACTCCCTCCGTTCCATTTTGATAGTTCTGTTTTTTTTTTTTCGTTTGTCCCAAATTGTAGTCCACTTTCCAATTGAAAAATGTAGTTGTATTTTAATTTTCTTAAAATATCTTTATTTAATGTAAGTTATTGTTACTATAAACCTACCCCATTTAATGAGAGTTGATTCTTTTTTTACCATCAATTCAAGTTTTCATAAAATTGTACTCTATTTAATATGAGGGTATTTTAGAAAAATAGCAATCTAAATTTATTTTTTCAACAAAATTAACTATTTTTTCTTAAACAGTGTGAAAAAAGAAACAAGATTATCAAAATGGGACGAAGGGAGTATATAATTTTCTGCCAAATATATATGTCTATGTATGTGTGCACAGAAATTGATTGCCCGGAAAATGTATACATTGAAGGAAATTTTACGCGCATTTGATGAATACAAATCGATTGTGTTGCTCTGCATTAGCATAATTTCCCTCTCTTTTTTAAAAATCTTGCATCTATAATATTTTTTAATTGCTGAATTATTAGCTTAAAACTTTTGCGCTTTAACATTGAGTGTTTGGTAATATTTTTCTTAGTCTCCAAATCATTGCTTTAAAGATGTTGCGTTTTAAGATTGAGTAACGTAACCTGATGCGACAAGTACAAAGTATGATTAATTACATGCTTATTTATAAATGAATAGTCGTTCGTTGTCTACCCAATAAACATTCCTTGATATAAACACGAAACCATATATAACCAAAAAAATAAAAAATATAATAGACACTAAAAAGATTAAACCGTTATATCACCTCAAATAAAATATTGCATATGCACGCACACACCCATACACACATATATATATATATATATACATATTAAAAAATATGTTATATACCTATATCTATATATTAATACAAATTCACCGCAACATTAACTAACATAAAATAAGTTGCATAAACATCAAACAATAAATATTTAACAATTTGCTGCGAATTATTGTAATTAAACTCTATAATCTCCATATGCAACCGCTTATGTTTCTTATATTAAAAAAATTTATGCACATCACCTTACTTTCGATAATATCCATTTATAAATAAACTATTAATATAAAATCTCTCATCTCTCAAAATTAAAATTATCCATCACTTATTCAAATTCTATTAATTAAAAAAAATATACTTCCGTCAATTACAATCACATTCATTCATAACTAAATCAATCTACTATCCATTTATTTTCCAACGATACTTCCCATTATTTTTCACTACAACAATGCACGCTTCCTCGTTCTAACTATCTGAATTATGAAAATATCATCATTCTAAAATAAACAGACTACAAACATCCAAACTATAATAAATTATAACACTCTTAGTGTAATTCTCCACTTAATTCTTTGTCCTATCAACTTTAAAAACAATATATATTCCATTAATTTAAATAACATTTACTTATCACTAAACTAAATAAAAAATTAAAACAAATATTATCTGTCAAATGCTTAAATCTTATTAATTTTAAAAAACGCAATACAAATCACATCAATTTTACGATATCTATTTACAAACAAATCAATCCAATATATCACTCCTCTATCCACTATTTTAACTCCATTATCATACACAACACTCTAACCATACATTATTAAATAAATCTTACATTACTGTAATACAATCAATAATGGACATCCCGCGTAAGTCACGTGGCACAAAGCCTAGTTTTTATTACCAATCTACAAGTGACAGAATAAGGTTCAATCTAATTTGATCTAAACATGTATGATTCTAATGAGTGATATCTAGCTTGACTTCGCATTGACTACTTGGTAACGAGTACTATTAATCAAGCCGAGTTGAGTCTTTGACTGCTGAGCTCGGCTCGTGCTGGCTCGAGCTCGCTCGACTAAGCAGATGAGCCGCTCGAACTCGGCTCGCTAATTGGGACATGTGATTCGAGCTTAAGCTCGACTTCGACTTATTTATCACAACGAGCCAAGCTCGCACATGCTTGAATTGATTACAATAAAACATATGATTTTTAATTTATATTCTTTTAACTTGTGAAATGACATATATATCCTTCCTTATCAAGCCCAAACTAATTACTTGAATAACAAACGATTCAAGTGTACTCGGCTCATTAATCAATTAAGTAAATTTCTAGCTCAAACTCAACTCATTTACTAAAATTGACGAGTCGAGTTCGAGCCTTATCGAGTCGAGCTCAACCGAATTTTTGAGCTGTTCGATTTGTTTAACAGCCCTATAATGGTAACTATCGAGCGATGGCTGTTTTTGAACACCCCCACCAAAAAAAAAAAAAAAAAAAAAAAAGAATGATGGTTGCTTGGGGGAGGAAAGGCGGGTGGGTGGGGACACTTTCCAAGTGATGTGGCAATACTGCAGTAGCAAGCATCAAACTGAATGTTGGTATTGAAGATTACACGGGTATGCCTAATTTGCCTTTGCCAATACACGAATCTTATGGGACGAAGAGCAATTCAAGAACTTACGCAGATATATGCCTCTTTGGCTTGTCGAAGCTCATTGAAACAGGAAGTGGTTTTTTTTTTTTTTTTTTTTTTTGGGTGCAATGAAACTAGAAATGAAAAGCTAAACCTCAATATAGACATGAATTAATTAGCATTAAGATTCAGGAATAGAAGATGCAATATACAAGTTAACACTAGCTGCAGCTTCACAAGTTAAGATCATGGATTCAGTATCTGCAGCTGTGGTTGAATTTGAAGGAAGTCCATTCTCGCAGTTGTAGGCCAGCGTTTGCGCCTGTCCTAATTGATGTATGTCCTCGTACCTTCCCAGTTGGGATAACTGATAGGCATCGTTAATTTTGTCGATCATCTGCTTATAAATTCTCAAACACTTGCCGTAAGACCTCCTCAATGATCCAGCAGTTGTGTTGGCTTGCAGGTCTCTGAAAATCTTGTAGTTCTTATTGGCTTGTTCTCTCGTCAGATTGATGGATATCAGAGACAGCTGAGGGAGGGTCGAAGACTTCGTATTGGGATCGCTCTCAAGAATTCGTACACAGATTTCTTCACTCTGAGTTTGAGAACAAATGGTGTACAAGATGTTCTGAGTGACAGCAGATGAAAGAGAGATCATGAGAGCTGCTGCTGAGAATGTAAGCAGAATTTGTGTAAGATGGTGACAACCCATGTTTGTTCTTATTCGTAACAACTGTGGGAGGATCTTTTCTTGGTTAGTTCCACCGGGTTACAGCATATATAAGTCTACCTTTTCTGCCATGGAAATTTTTTATTGCCTAATCAAAAGAGTTGGAAAAATGGAAAGAGAATCTTGTTGCGTAGCAAATAATTCGCTGGATCTTGAGAGTAGGAAGGAATCTTGTCTATCCTAAACATTGAACTTATCCACTATAGAGCATAGATCCATTATAGGCTTCAAAAGCAAGAGACACTATTGAGCATAAATTAGTTCTTATTATCCATGAATGCCAATATATTATCATTTGGTTGCTTATATCATAGAATATTCGGCAATATTACCTGATATAAAAATCGAGTCCGATAAATACAGAGGTTGACAGGGCATTAAAGAACATATAAGACATAGCAGTGACCAAGGTTGTAAACACTTATCTTTCAGAAGCAAAATGAAAAAGGACGTTAACTTGTTGGAACAACTTCAACTATTGATTTCGTCCCATTTACCATCAATGATTAGTTATGGGCAGCATGAAAACGACAGAATTAGGTAGATCACCATTTATATTCCTCTTTCTCTCCTATCTAAAAATCTTTAGGACGAGTCAAAAGAAGATTACTAATTCAGAGAGACATGATAGTGCTATCTTTTAACGGTCATCCTAGAAGGACTTTGTTAAAGGTGCCAAAGAGAAACTGACTCAAACTTTGGAATGGCTGTTATTATCGTGGGTGACTAATGATCAAAATTTTGATAGGCTTTTTTATTGCTTTTCCTTGGGTGAGAATCAACGGTAGATTTTGCTATACAAAGAGTGTGTTATTCCAGTTCCGAAACTTTATAAATAGCCAATACTTAGTTCTACCCTTTTCTTTGTTTTTTTCTTGGTAGAAGTAAGAGAACTTATACAGAACCATGTATAGTTATTTTTAAAGGAGTCTAGTAACAAAATGCTAGCATCAAAAGGAAATGGTTGATTAAATAGAACTGAGAGCACATTAGGATTAGGATGTATCTGCACTAGGTTCTTCCCCTTCCTCACTGGTTCCGATATCAGGCTCCTTTTATTATTATTACTGTTTTGGCAAAACGGCAACTTGTATTTATGATGATAATCGTTATATCAAATATTATACCGAACTACTGTCAGGAATATCTGTACATCTGTGAACCTTCAAAGTGAGATTGAATCCCTCCATTCTACATCCTTTAGTCTAATCCAATGCATGTTTTGCTAGTTCTAAACGATTTGCATTCCTAACATTGTTCAGAAAAAGAGGAGTCCTTTTATTTAACTTATGAAATAGCTAATGGTGCAATTCTTTTTCTTTTTCCCTTTTTTTTGTCATTTTTGGGTACACAGACAAAGTACATTGGACGCATAGCAGAATACATACTATCCATTTAAGTTCTCAAAATCAAAACATCTGCTTCAGTTTGGCTCCTCCCATTATCCCTATTGAAAGTTAATTATGTTAAATATTTCTTTATAGTTGGATCCCCTTTTTTTTTAATAAAAGAACAGATAGAAATTTTATTAATGATGTTGCTGGAAATCATCATGCATGAGTTGCTTGACAAAAGTTAGAGTAGAATTCTAAAGAGATTCAAAAAGATTAGCACTCTCAGCACCCTTATTCGCTTCTCTTGAAATT